AGTGGAGTGGATTGCAACTCTGAGTGCGTGTACGCGCGTAAGCTTTATTATATATATTGTATCTACACGGGGCCGCGTATACCTTACAAGAATCATGCCAGTTCGTTGTCGCAGACATGCTTGTGCTTTATGCGTAGGCCCGCAATGGGTTTGGGCGAGAAACCAATTCTGGGCTCATAGGCAATTAATTAACCCCGTCGTGAATCGAGAGAACTCGAGTGTATCTAACAACTTTGCACCCTACCGGTTGAGTGCATAGAAGAGCGTGTCACAACATGTGAGATATACCGGGATTCTCTCGATTCACGATGAGTTATGAATCTTGTTGATTGTTGTACTCATAACGCCCGGTGGAATTGTCCAACAGTGTAGCCATCAATCTATGTGCCATATTGTCACGTTATGAGACTCATGTTTACTAAGCTTCTTGATAAAATCATTATTCTTGTTCTTGCGAGAGCTGCAGACGGAGTCTGCAGCTCTCTTTTTAATACCAAAAAAAAACTTCCCTTCGTCCGAATCTAACTTTCGGCTAAGTTTAGTCATGATAGCCGACGCTATGACATCCAGCCATCACACCAAGCTCTGCGACTTCAGTCTACAGAGGCATTATCCGACACATATACGTCGCTCCTCAGTGTCAATCCAACACAGCGCGACACGCTTGACCAAGTAAAAGGGAGGAGGACAGGATCAAGAACAGACGACAATAAAGCATGAAAGGGTTGCCTACACACCCCACTGAGCACCCACTGAGATTTACAGTGGGATGCTTGAGTCAGACGAGCCAAGGTGCTAGCAATCAACCACACCCCCCGGGGGGGGGGGCGTGCTAAAGTGTCATTGATGGCTCTTGTCGTATGATTGTAATGTTAAACTCAATTGTTTACAATGCTAGCATGCGGCCTCGCTTGGCTCACAATACTACTTGCTCTAAGAGACTGCAATCGCATTAACGAAGACAATCCGAAGGGTAAAAGGGCTCTAAGCCACCAGACACACCGTAGAAAATGGCTCGGTTTGGTGGTCAGCACCCTGTTTGAGGGTGCAGGCGAAGACGGAACCTAAAAAGTGGGGGCGTGGCACGAGCAGCACCCGTATCAATTGCCTATTCATGAAGACTATTTTGAGCTTTAATAAAACCGCCGTGTGGTATGCGCTGTGGGCCATGAGAATCGTTGTTCTCACTGCCTTCGCAGCTATAGAAGCTCATCACTGACACCATCAATCTGTTTCAACTCTCTAATAATTTTCTCCTCCGACAGCATAAGCCTATGCTTCTCCCATTCTTCCAGTTTCTTTATGCCATTTGAGTCGTAAATACGACTAAGACGGATTGCCCGCTCTTCCCAGCCTGAAAGCTTTTCGTTAGCCCCGATAGCACCTTTTGGCTGCGTTACTTTACTACCGTTGTCGGCTGCTTCCAAGAGCGATAAAACCATGCTGCCAAAAAGGCTTGCACCATGATGACCGTCTGTGGCTAAAACTGCTCGAAAAATTTGCTTCTTGATCGATAAATCTCGTATCTGATGCTTCTGTTGCTGGTTTTCTAATAGCTTCTCTTTTGTAGACTCTTCTAATTCCGCCACCCGCCTCTCCAGGTCTCTCACCTTATTCTCTTTCCGCTGACGAAATGCACGCTGCCTACAGTCATAATATAAGTAATGAGGTTTGCCATGAGTAGCCTACAACTCGAGAAAGAGGGATGGAGATATACTTACGCAGCCCGGTTCTGCGCTTGTCTTTTTTTTCTCTTGTCTTCTGATGACTTTTTATCTTTCTCAGTCGGCTTGTAATTCGTGGGGTCCTCTGATTGACAGGAACATGGGATCAATAAACGAGAATTCTCGTCCCAGCCTATTTTGCTAGCAATAGCTTCACAACAGCGCGACTGTGTGCGGCCGAAGGTATTAGTGATTGAATTGAACAGGTGGCATGGGATAACATGGTCTTGTGCTGGACTTGAAGAGGATTCGTTGTCGTGACTGAAGATCAGGCTTTCGTTTGTTGTAGTCTTAGGATGATCAGCCTTTGATTGACTCGTCAGAAACAGAGCGCTAGTACAAAAGTTCTTCGCGGAGTGTGCTCCTAACGTATGTAGGCCAAACAGCAACGCAATGAGAGTAAAACCCTTAGAAGACAGGGGTCGGATACCTTGTCATCCAAACAGCCACTGGCGAAACTGAATAAGTAACTGTCACCTATAGACGATGGTGGTATATATGAGGACGCATCAGTCTCAGTGGCAAACGGTTCCACCAGGTGATTATGATCACCAGAAACATTAATCATTTTGAACAACTAAACCAAAATGCAAGGTTTTGAGATTATACAATTCTCGTCGTGGGGCAATGGGTCTAAGCTATTTATTGCGTATGCGCAGAACTCAGCCGCCTCAGTTTGTAAACCTCCCCCTCTTTGGGGATATTGTGGGAAATGATGAATGATCACTGACGTGCCATATGAAACAACATGTTGGTAATCAACTTTCGTACTTCAAATAGGGAAGACGTGACCGCTGCACATCCGTACAAGTTTCATCTAGAACACAACTTTGTCCTCCATTTTCAGCAAGTAATAAAAGTATGACAGAGATCGTTAATGTCCACTCTTGCCGACGGAAATTGCACAACTGTTCTATTACATGATATTGCTGACTAAATCGCCAATACAGTTGAACTTTATTTTAGACCACAGCTCAAGGGTAGGTCTTGAGCGATTGTCATGCCAGACGCTGTGGACCCATGATAATGCAGATCAAAACGTGAGTCGATTTTAACCTTGTTTTAGACCGCAGCTCAAGAATAAATGGTCGAACGATTGTCCGGTCTGACTTTAGGAGTGTCACACGTTACATCAAACATTCAATTTGAGTAGTGATGTACTTTGCGTCCTATAGCGTTGTACATACGTACGTACGTTGAGGTGCTGTGCATGGAGACAGGAAACTTCACGATACTGACACACCCAGCGTCAGTACAAAATTATCGTTCTAGGAAATGTGGCAATCATAGCCTCAGTAGTAATTCAAGTGTGTCATCGTGTATCTAGCCCTTGCCCCACAATCGGCCGTCAAAAGTCTTAGCATCAGAGTGGGTCGATTCTGGGGTTCGGTTTTCCCACAATGTAAGCTTGTTTCCAATAACGTTCAACTATTCGAGCGAGACCCACACGAACCGATGATGATCAATCATCCCACATTGACCACACATCTTCACGAAGAGAGACCGGATGTTTTACCTGCAATTAAAGGCCTAATCACTGCTGGAGATCTGAGTGAGACATGTGCGGCTAAGGGTTGATGGAGGGACCTGTGTTTGTAATCCCTCTGCGCGCTTTTTTTCAAAGAAAAATAAAAAATAAAACATATTGTGACACAGAAGAGCCAAATTTTGTTATGTCGCATACTGAGGCTCTTTGCATGAACATGTAACAGCGAAATTGGGCGACTATTTGAACGGAACGATGAACCAATAGACAAGCACATTACCTACACAGATATTTAGTTGAACATTATTATTGAAGGATAGAACTGCCTCTAATGATAGTACAAGCGCACTTCTTGTGATTTCCAACTGTCAGAATGTCAGTTAGCATGACTAGACTTAGCTGAAGAACGGATTCGGACGAAAGGAAGTTTTCCGGTATTAAACAGACGATCGCAGACAGAGTTGGACTCAAAAAACAAGAAGAACAATGATTTTGTGAAGGAACTTATTTAACAATAAGTCTATAACGTGACACAATTGTCATCCCGCCATAGCACAGTGCGTGATTGCCCACAGCAAACCAAGCTCAATCCGTAAGCCGACTCTCAGAAATCCGTTGGAGAAAAAGGGCTAGAGTGTTACGATTCCGGCTTGTAGGCAGCAGCATGGGCAGCTACATGAGTCCTCCTCAGCAGCGTAAGACGGGTACGGTGTAGATCGGGATTATGGACCAATGGCAGGGAGTTCAATCCGTTTATAAGTAAAATTAACAGAGACACCGAAAGGGCTCACCGGGAATTTGCGTGCATTCCATCGAACCGCGTAGTAAATAGGCACCATAAATTGTCATAGTACTCTTAGTCCTAGCTGATCCTTAACATGTCACGTTATGGGACTCACTGTCTAAGCTTCTTTCTTATAAATATTGATTGTTGTTGTTCTGTCTCTCCTTCAGCTATTGATCCAAAAGGCTCGCGCTCAAAGGCGATAGAGATAAAGGTACCTGTCTCCCACTTGCCAATTCTCTCAAAACACCAAATTCTGCAACTTCAGTCTGCAGAGGTATTATCCGACAGAGCTTTTGACTTGGATAGACTGGAATTGAGGCACAATATCTAGACATGTTGATTTGATGACAAGAGGGGAACTTTGCTTTATATTGAAATGAAAAAAGGGAATACAGGCAGAAGACCCGAAAATTAAAACCGGCAACGCGACGCAATCGACAAGTGGCTGTCGTAAGACTGTCTATTTACAAGCTGAGCAAAGAAGGAACGCAACCTTGTTTCTCGCCTCAAGTCCGTGACCACATCTCTAGACGAAATTAACTGCTTTACACATGGGGCTAATCTAGAGCCTCCGGAAGCAGCCAGTAACACTTGCTGAGTTGTTGTGATGCTGAGAAATTGGATAATTGCGAACGTAATTCCTAATATAAATCGTCATTTGTTGCCCGTCCTTTCCTTAGTCAATATGCCGGTAATGTATACATAAGTTCTTCATGCAACCCAGGAATATATGACCTCGACAAAGTGTTTGACAATTTCAGGTCATAGCCCTGCGCGCTCGGAATTGCGGTACACCTGGGGCTATAATTTTCCAGTCGTCTCCAGCCCATTCTTGCGCAAATCAGCTCGAGATTTGGACTGCCTTTCGGCGAGGCAAGCCTCTTTATTTTGCATCATAGAGCAGAAAACTTCTGTTCCCATGCAAGTTTCGTTAAAAGCAGGACAGTTAACTGGATTCATCCATAGAAGTTTTGTCGCCGCTCGTTTTACCTCGGTGGGGTGTGCGAAAGCAAACACAAACTGCGGAACTAGAGCAAAAGCTGCCAGTCTCATCGTGTAATGTGGGAAAAAGAAGTGCACGGTGAGGACGGTGGCTAATTGGAGCTGGCACGAGTTGCGGGTGACACCAGGTTTTTTCTTTGTAGTCGTACGGACGTCGTCCTCTTGTAGGCATGAAGAGGCATATGTATCGTCGCCCAGCTGTTGCCGCATAAATACGCCTGAGCTTAAGCTTCAACGTTAAATGCAGTCCCACTTTAACGCTAGCTGTCATACTACAAATCACACACTGACACGTAACCAAAATGGATGATTTGCACGTAATACAATTCAGCGTCAACCACCCGTGGCCGGGTTAACAATGTCATTTCTGAAACACGACGCTGGGCCTAATCAGGTGGGTTTTGTGGCTCATTCCTAGATCCTGTGAGACGTTTGCACCTGGGGAGCCCAAGACTCAAGCCCAAAGTCCAAATCTGAGGCTCATGCAGCTGAGCTCTGGAGCCTGCATCATGAACCTAGTCCATCCAGCGACTTAATGCCCCGACAGCGCGAATCATGGATAGCCATTTGAATGATTACCAAGGCTTTGACATTTGGTCTATTGTCATGATTGTTTGATTATATTTAAGAAGCCTGTCTCTTGTTTTGACAACTGTGTGCTAGGGCGTCAACTAAGCAGGTCCAAGAGACGTGTTTCTTTTCACACTCTTTTCTCCCCCCTTGATATTACGTGTATTTTTTTCTTGACTTGATATAACCCTCCTGTTTCCTGGGTTTACTTACATGCGTTAAAGTTCGTCATCATGGTGATGCTGCCCCTTCTTGTTTCTGGCCTGATGGCCTCGGTTTCTGTTGCTGGTCCTATGGAGATAAGAGGCCAGGTTGAGCATCATTGTGCTACCCGAGGTCTCAGTTTGGAGGACCAGGAGCTATTTACGCGGCATGCCTCCCAGCCCGATGATGGACAAGAGATCAACTTGGGATGTGTTTTGCATTTATGCTGCGGCCAGGGCGGAGAATGTCCCCC